TAATATATGATCATATTTAGTCATTGTTGACTGAGAACATACAAGACAAGATCCCGCCGATCTATATAGTGAACTTTTTGTAAATTCAAGCAGAAGAGGCGAGGTGCCTTGCATGAATGCGTAATTACTTGAAACATTGCTCTTCAATTCCAATTTATACTTCTATAATAACAATTATATTATGTATTTCTTAAGAAATTTATTTTAATCCAGACTGCATTCTTCAGTTGGGTTACTTAATTATTAAAACACCCTAAATAAACCAAAACAAAAAGAAGAATCATTGAGAGTATTTAAATACTTGCCAAACTGCACTTTTCCTGGGCAAATCGAAATAGAAGAACAACTTACAAAATATGGATGCTTTCCAAAAACTAACTAAAAAAACAAAGCAGCAAAAAAACTAAAGTGGTGGTTAAGCTTTTGTTCTATTGTTGCTTGCTCTTAGTTCCTCAGCCCCCCCGGCATTCTCGGCCCGGAATACACCTGATAGGTTTTCCACGATCAGTATTTCTAGCATAGGAACTCGACGCAGGTTTATTAATTTCGTTCCGTACAGAAGAATCACAAGCTGAAACGCGTTTCCTTGAATTAGATGGAGGATTTCGGTGAGCCGCGGGTGGACTCTTTTGCCCTTCACTTCTAGCAGTAGGTGATGGATGCTCAGATCTTTCGCCTAGGCTCTGTTTATTGCCACCTTGGGAACATATACACATACACCCGCAACCACAAAACTATTCAGTAAGAAAGGTTATAGATAAATTTAATTAATTCCATAAATAAGGAAAGAGACAGCTTACTTTGAGCTCCAGCTATGAAGAGGATTGATGCCACAAAAAAGCAGAAAATAATAAGAGAAAGTCGGTCCATATTTGGCATGTAAGATTTTTTACTTCGGCACCATCTGTTATGGGTATATATATAGTTCTGTTTGACACTGTTTAATTCTAGCAACGTCTAGTGTGCGCGGGGAAGTTTGACCCAACTAAGACGGTTAGGGTTGGAACATGTTTATAGCCCACACGAACTAATTAACTTTTTGCTGTTCGAAAAAGGAAAAGAAACTAATTATGATTGTGATATATTAATAAAAGCAAAAGTGATTTTTGTTTTTTGACTGGGTACGTAGACCATGTTGACTATCAGATTGCAAATGTTTCATGGCTACTGTAGAGTTAATTTGGACCAAGTCATACTCAGATCAAACGTATGAACATATGAATTTTCCAAGGATGGTGTGAGGGTCAAAACAAGTCAGCTTTTTTTTTTTTTTCTTTTTCCCTCTAATTGTAGCTATGGGACATGCATGCAAAACAAGATGGCTTAACTAATTAAGGCTTGAGCAACAACAATTCGTTGCTCACATAGGACTTTATACAGTATGAGATGTTAGGTTGGGCCAAAAACTGCATAGGAACTAGAAACGCATAGAATGTCATGTACCCGCAGAGTACATGACAAATGAGATGTTGTGGCTAAAATGAGAACAGTAAAAATTAAAGGTTAAAACCTCATTTTGGTCCTTGAACTACCATACGGACCCCTGATTTAGTCCCTAAACTAAAAAAATCTCTGATTTGGTCCCTACTGTTTACCATTTTAACCCCGAATTGATCCTTCCGTTAAATATCCGCTTACGTGTCTTGTTACTTGACAGGAAAAGGATGACATGGAAGACAATAAGACCAAAAAAATGATAACATGTAAAAAATAATAATATAAAAAAATATTATGAAAAATAAAATTTAAATTTTTTCTTTCTTTTTCCTTCTCTTTCCTTTCCCCTTCCCCTTCCCCTTCCCCTTCCCCTTCAAACCCAGGCGTGGCCTGGGTTCGACACAACCCAGCACGCCTGGGTTCCACCGAACCCAGGCACTGGGTTCCTTAAGACCCAGCCCTGGGTTAAGCCCTGGGTTCCCAAAAAAAAAAAAGAAATTTATGTTTTCTTTGTTTGGGTTTTGTTGTTTGATGATATGAGAAATTGATTGATGAGGAAGGCAAGGCAACCGTTGGGTTTTTGCAGGTGGATGAAGATGAGGAAGGCATAGGTGCTCTTGGGTTCTCCAATGAACCCAGGTGCCTGGGTTCCTTCTCGAACCAAGGTGCCTGGATTCCTTCTCGAACCCAGGCGCTGGGTTCCTTCTAGAACCTAGGCGTTGGGTTCCTTTGAGAACCCAAGAGCTGGGTTCCTTCGAATCCAGGGGCAAAAAAATTTTTGTTCTTTTTTTTTTTTTTGTGGGTTTGATTGTTTGATTAAGATGAAGAAGGCAAGGTAAGGAAGAGGAAGGAAAAAGAAAGGGCACCTGTTGGGTTCGATATTGAATTGATTGTTTGATTGAATTGATTGTCTGAATGAAGGAAGATTCGAGAAAGAAGATGCTGGAGGAAGAAGATGATGCAAAATTGTAATTTGGTGGGCCCCACTTTTGTTTTTGTGTTGGGTATGACCATGTCATCATTTAGCCAGTTGGACAACTTACGTGTCTTAAATTTTTGATATGTCTGTGAGTTAACGGACGATATTTAACGGAAGGACCAAGTTGGGGTAAAATGGGTAAACATTAGGGACCAAATCAAGAATTTTTTTAGTTCAAGGACTAAATTGGGGGTCCGTACAATAGTTTGGGGACCAAAAAAGGGTTTTAACCAAAATTAAATTAGGGATTTTTTTAGTTGAGGGACTCAATCGAGCATCCATGCAATAGTTGAGGGATCAAATTGGACTTTAACCATGAATTACTTAACTTGTTTTAAGTATAAATAAGATTTTATTTGGTACATCAAGTGCAAATGAGATGTTCATATGTTTTTTAGTTCTTATAAAAGTTTCAAAAAACTAAAATTGATTACCTTAATAACCACAACCATATCAGCTATGTTTTTTTTTTTTTTTAATGTTGAGGGTAAGATTCGAATCTCACACTTATCAAACGTAACATGAAAAATCCTTTACAAGGAAGAGATGACCATTAGGCCACAAGGACATTCTCATATCAATTACATTTAAAGCAGCTTTAGCTAAAAAAGAAAGAGAAGTTGATGACATAAACTTCTCCCAACTAATAGTCTAAAAAGACTTAAGAACAAAACTTAAGTCATATCTTCCACATTCTAGCTTAAGTAGCAAAAGAAGAAAGTCTCTTTCACATCCTAAATTCCATAATACTTGAAGAAAATCATTGGGTAAAGCTACGACCATATGATATATTATTTTGATTAAAAAGATATTGAATTGAAAAATTATAAGATTAATTATAACTTTAGAAATAAACCAAGTATCATAGATGGTTGGATTATCATATTAAAATGCTAACGTATTATAGCATACAAAGTGCAGATTTTGGCATGGCACACGTGATAGAAACAAAAAATTATATTAGCCCTCAAATAGTCAATCCATTGAATCTAGGATTTTGGATAACATGATGAAATATCTTTCAAAGTTTTCAGTAATAAAAAAAGATTCTTTATAAAATATCAAACCAAATACCATTTAACTATTAAAAGTAATAATAGTTTGTCTGATATCAAAAATCAAAATGACACGGGTTTTATCCTTCCAACCTTTAATTTGTTTGATTGATTTACAATATTAATTAATAAAAATTCTTGCAAAAAAAAGAAAAAAAGATTAACTAAGTTAGGAAATAGCAACAGAGTATAGCTCCAATCAAACAAATCAATCAGTTCTTTGGTTTCCTAAATTTGCAAATATCAGTCAACCAAACATGGATTTACAAACTTATAAGAAAAACTTAAACAGAAGATATTAGCACAGACAATTTATTGCCATGAGGAAACTTTAAACATTAATTTGTGCCCTGACAGTTGGCCCCGAAGTCAAGACAGTGAAAAACATTGCCATGTCATGTTTGAAACTTTAAGTAAAACAGGTTAAAATAACAACTACATATGAACCTTGTGTACTTCTACAAAAGAAGGAAAAAACAGTGAAAAACATTGCCATGTCATGTTTGAAACTTTAAGTAAAATAGGTTAAAATAACAACTACATATGAACCTTGTGTACTTCTACAAAAGAAGGAAAAAAAAAAAAAAAAACTCCTGTAAGAAACTTTTTCTCGAGTTTCTTTGAAGAGTCACTTAGTTTGATACTTGAACCAGCTTAATTATGTTAATAATGAGGATTAAAAAAAAAACCTCCCTTAGGAAACCTTTTTCCAAATTTTTTAGTATTACCATTGTTCACAAAAAGTTAGTGGAAAATATAAATCATTTAAAAGTTGTGAAGCATTAGCTAAATGAAATCTTAGTTCAGGATGGGCCTTATATTTAAAACCTGATATATATACTTATCCTGTTTCAGTTCTGTTGTGGATTTTCTTATATTTAGGGGTGTTGACAATTATAATTTTGGTCATTGGCGGAGG